ATTTCGGGTTGTCACAATGACATCCCGAGTTTTGATATATAATGAAAATACATTTCTTTAAGAAATGCTTTGATAAACTTTATTTTATCATGTTTTGTTTTGGGGACAAATTTCCGCAACTCTTTTAAATCAATGGATTTACTCTGAAATTATTTTAAAAGCATAAATGAAACCGGTCTTTTCTGGTCGTGATTTTGGGGATGTCACACTGTTTAACTGGGAGGAATTATGGACTTGATAAATCCAAAGTTCACTTTTACTTTGTTATGGTTTATCTGTATTATAACATGAATGTGGATTATGCTTCGTTGTTGTGGGATAAATTTACCACGTCTGTCAAGCACTCGAAGAAGACTACTGAGATAACCAATGCTCGTTTCTGGAGTTTTATTTTGCATGAAGCATATAGTCAAGTAGGCATTCTAGTTCTCAAAGATGTTGAGGTTACTTAATTCTCACATCTTAATATTCCTATTCCATTAAAATAGACAAATAACACACCATCGCATGGTCGCGTCGCGAAGCCTGCTAAAACCCTCATTTTCATTCCATTAAAATAGACAAATAACACACCAATAAAACAATTGTTACATAGTAACTATCCCTTGTTCATAACAAGTTTTATAACTTTCCATAATTAATAGGGTCCTTTTGGGTTAAACATAAGATGTGATTTAAGCATAAGATGATAAAAGAGAAGTTAGAGGGGCTAGTTTGTTAATTAATCATTAGATGATAAATTAACTGGAAACTACTAAAGTTAAAGGGTTTAAGTGTAAATATCCCTAATTTGAGTTGGTAATAATTATTGCTTATACTAAGGGATAATTATGCCTAGTGAAAATATAAGGGTACAAATCCTTAAAGCCCTAGCTAATTGGTACACTCTTCGGTCTGCTCTCTCTACCCCTCTTTTGTTTTCTTATGTCTATCGGTTCTAAGCAACACTCGACAACCCCTTTCTTAATGTGATGCTTTCTTGGTTTTGGCAAGGAACAAATAAGAGTAGCTTGTGTCTTGGTGCTTAATCATTCATCTTGGGTGTGACTACATTAAAAGGGTTCTCCTTTGGGCTCTAAGTCATCCAAGAGAAGGAAGGGGGCAATTCATACTCTCCACAAGAAAGGTATATTCGATCCTTGCATTATGATGTATTTTTGTTGCTAAAAGTTTTCTAGAACAAGATCCATGGTGAATTATGATGATAAAAAGTTTTGTTTATGTTTTGTTTCCATTGCGATGTGTGTGAAAATCATCATAACCCAAGAGTTTCAACATTAATTGTTGTCATATACCCAATATTATTGCTAATTATAGTAGCTACTGAATTTGCCCATGCACTTTCATTTGCAAACCTTTTTGTTTAAGTAGTTGAGTTGTTCAAAAGCCTTGAGGATACCCTATATCTTCAACTCATCCAAGTTCGATTTAAATCTAGAATGGAAGACATTCTTTTTTCTATTTATGTTGATTATGTTTTTGCATGATACGGTTGAGGACGAGACATCCTTGAACAATGTTTAGGTGTTTCTCAAGCGAGTGATGAAACATTTGGTTTAATAAGCTATTTACTTGTGGAGTTTGATTACTCATTGACTTTATTGCCACTATTAAGATTTAGTTTTTTGGTCGAAATAAAAAAACTAGGTAGTTTTAGTATCAAAATCAAACACCTATATTGTTTTAGGATAAAAAAATAAATATATAGCTCTCTCTCTCTATCTCTCTCTCTCTCTCTCTCTATATATATATATATTATATATATATATATATATATATATATATATATATATATTTATCATATCATACTATATTATAAATGAAGCATTTTTCCTTTCACCACATTCATTTGAAACTCCCATGCATTTTTCCTTTCACCACATTTATTTGAAACTCCCATGACTTTTCAATTTCTTTCTAATAATAATTATAAGTTGGTTAATAAGGTTAAATAAATATCAAACCTAAAGTGTAATCATATATAAACTAAATTTCAATATTAAAATAATATCTGTACTTTTACTTATAAAGTTATTTTTTTTAACTTTTAACATATTATAGTTAATTTATTAGTTTTAATATATTGTTGGATCTAAACCATTATCATTTTAATGATACAATTTTGGAACAATTTGTATAAAATATTTAAATTGTTAATTTGTATAAAATATTTAAATTGTTAATTTGAATATAACATTACAATGTCAACTATTTAAATTGTTAATCTGAATATAACATTACAATGTCAACTTTAATATAAATTTGAGTTTAACTTAAATAATCCAAAGAATATTTTGTAAATAGTTAAAAATGATTAATTGTAGTGTCTTTCTAATAATGATTATAATTTGGTTAATAAAGTTAAATAAATATCAAACCTAAAGTGTAATCATAAATATACTAAATTTCAATTTTAAAATAATATATTTACTTCTACTTATAAAGTTATGTCTTTAACTTTTAATATATTATACTTAATTTATTAGATTTAATATGTTGTTGTATGTAAACCATTATCAGTTTAAAACTATAACTTTTGAACAATTTGGACAAAATACTTAAATTGTTAATTTAAATATAACATTACAATGTCAACTTAAATATAAATTTCAGTTCCATTTAAAAAACCAAAGAGTATTTTGTAAATAGTTAAAAGTGATAAATTGTAGTGATAAATGCAAAAACTAAATTGTAATCTCAATTTAACTAAAATATTTCCTAAAGATATTTTTATAATCGTTAAAAGTTTTCAAATAAGTAGTTTAAAATAATTTACAATAACAATAGTTAAAAATAACTCTATATAAATGATTATATTGTTACCTTTAAAATCCAAAAACAATGTTTGATGTTTTAAATAGGGAAATCTCCAGAAAAGTCCTAAAATTTTACCATAATTTACGAAAATGTCCCAAACTAAAACTTGTTTACGAAAAAGCATGAATTACCGGTAAAAATGACGATTTAACCATTTTTTCCGGTTTACCGGTTTTATTACTTACATGTTTCACTAAAGTCCTATTATTTTACCCTAATTTGCAAATAAGTCCCAAAATAAAATTTACTAATGATTTGACCATTTTCTTCATGTAACACACATTTTATCGGTTTCATTGCTGACTTAGACACCTAGTCATTAAGTTAGCTGATAAGATGAATACGATGGGTTATATAATGTCACATTTACTGTAAAATTTGATATCCATCTCATCGGCTCATTTATGACTATGTATCTACGTCAGCAATGAAACCAATAAAATGCGTGTTTCCAAGAAAAAAGGGCAGAAAATGAGTTGATGTCTGATGAGATTGATATATTGGGTTACATAAGATTAGATAGACAATTTGATATTTCTTATAAACGTAAAAAATAACGTAGTTGTTGTTAGTTTATGTAATTATTGTAGTCTTCGTTGGATGCATTTTATGTTCCAAAAAGATATACAATACATCAGGATATCAAGTTTTATGCTAAACATAACATTATATAACTCAACATATCCATCTCATTATCTCATTTACTGACTAGGCGTCTAGGTCAGCAACAAAACCGGTAAAATGTATGTTACATAGAACAAATGGCAAAATCATCAGTAAATTTTATTTTGAGACTTATTCGCAAATTAGGGTAAAATAATGAGACTTTAGTGAAACAAGTAAGTAATAAAACCGGTAAACCGGAAAAAAGGGGTCAAATCGCCATTTTTACCGGTAATTCATGCTTTTTCGTAAACAAAATTTAGTTTGAGACTTTTTCGTAAATTAGGGTAAAATTTTAGGACTTTTCTGGAGATTTCCCTTTTAAATAATTATAATGATAGAAATTAAAACATTAAGAATTTTTAAAAAAAAAATTAATTAACAATACCAACAACTATAAATAACATTAAACCATATATTATATTTAATTTTATTCATGTGTAACTCGCGGGTAGAAGTCATTCAAACGATTGAGATTATGCAGTTATAATAGATGTATATATTATTATATAATTCAAAATAATCAATATATTATATCAATTTAGTATACGAATTATTAAATCAAATTTAACAACAACGTTATTGTTATATTTAAAAAAAACATATATTTGTAAAGACTTCAACTATATATGTTTTCTGCGCAACGTGCGGGCATTCGCCTAGTATTGATATAATTGTAAACCTCATTAAATCAATAAACCCCTTTAATTTACCGGTGGATATAAGACGATTATACATTTTAATTATGTATTTATTGTTTCAAACCCTAACCTACTTTCCATAATTAAGGGTCCACACAAGTCCACTCTTCTCCAACAATACCCTCAAATAATCCATTTCCTGTGGCACTCCTCACCTATTTATACCAAGCCTATGTAGAGCAAAGAACCTTTGGATCCATCCAACAGCAAGTTGCTCACCTTAAAAGGGAATAACATGTTTAATCTAAAATGATTTTAGACCAAAAAATGTTATGAAACAATAAAAGAAAGATTAATAACGAATTTTCTTTAACTAAATCCAAAACAACTACTTGATCACGGGAACAGTAGGTATAAGTTGATCTAAAATTTAAATATTTTGATCATAAATTTCAAAAAATTAAAATGAAAACAAGTTTTTGCCAAAAAAAAAAAATGCTAAACCAAAAAATAAATTTAATTCAAATAGGAAAATAATAAATCTATTATGAGGAAATATTAGGTAAAAAAAAGAGTTTATACATATTTAAGATCTAAATCTAGAATATTATTTTAGGCTTTAATTGGCCCTTTCATAATTGGTGTCGGTTGACTTTTATTATTGAGAAGGCTAAACTAAACACGCTACTTGCAGAAGGGTTGGTGATTCTTGAAAAGGGCAAAACGGTCAATACACCTCCAAAGTCATGGGCAAAATCGTCAAAAAACTACTTAGAAATTGGTGGTGATGCATCTGTATATATATACACACACAGTAGGGTGTGAAAATACACACAGTCACACACAATCGAAGCAAGGGATCGCGTAATAGAGTGGCATATGGGAGAAGAAATGTGTGGAATATAAGCGTTTGAAGAAGATTGATTTATGCATATATATTATATATATACAGATGATGTGTGTGTGTTTAGTGAGAGAAAGTTGTAGAGAGAGAAAGTTTTTCAGTCATTAGTCGCCGCCATTTTTGTTACGGCGGAGAAGTTTTGGTTTTTGATTCGTCGGAGTTTGTCGAAGGATCGGTTAATGTGAATCATTCGATCTGTGTTTTGATTTTTTCATCAGGTATTTGAAACCCTAGTTTGCGTCTGTGTGCGTGTGGACGTGTGTGTATTTGATATTATCTGTTTGTTTGTGTGTAATTTTGTTTTATTGAGGTTCGATGATATTGGATGGTTCGATGCTTTCTTAGATCGATTCGATTGAAAGGTTGAAATGAAATGGAAGTTTCTCGCTTCGGAAATCTTATAGTCTCATTTGAAGTGTTGCGACGAGTGATGGATTTTGATGGTTTTCGCGATTGCAAGTGGTTTTGTTTGAAGAAGAATATATGTTAAGGAGGGTTTTCTTGCTTTACCGCTGTATCTTCGAGTTCACTGGTGGCATTCTTCATGATTCTCGTGGTGATTTTCTCTCTCCATGGCTGAGTTCACGGCGTCGTGGATCTTGAATCACATCCTCAGCGAACTCATTTTTTGAAATCTTATGTGCTTGTTCATCTGCGGTATAAGCATCAATCTGCTATGCCATTTTTAGGTCGATATGGTGGATCTGTGGTTTATTGCTACGAGCTTGATATTCACGGAAGCTGATCTCGTTTTTCTTCTACCTAGGTTTAGCACATTGAGGGATCTAATCTCCTTAGATGTTCATCATTTGAGACGTTATGCTCCGATTCACAACATTTACAGGTCAACAAGGGCGTGCAGTGTGTCTTGACCACACATAACCTATTTGTTTCCTTAGAGCTCTGTAAATCTCCTTGGTTTGAATGGAGAAAGATTGTTTGCTACTAATTATTGGAATCCATGGCTTCTACTCGAATCAATCTGAAGTTGTTTGAGACAAGGCATGGAATATGCTTTTGCTATCTCTTCAATCTTCATCATCCTCAGTATTTCGTTTCTGCTCATTTGGAGATTAGGAAAATGCTAACACATGGATCAAAATCTTCTCTGTTGAAGGCATATTTGAATCGTGCTTATCTTGTTATGTTATGACTCGCATGTTTCACATGATTGTCTTGGAAGCCTGAATCTGCAGCAAGCCAGCAACTCAACTAGACTTAGCTTCTTTTTGAAAGCAGTTCGTTTATGCTTTAGATCCTGAGTGATTGATGTCCTGTTCCAAACGCTTCATCTTTGATTTACAGTGCCATTTCTTTTAGTGTGGATGTATCCATAAGAGTTCAGGAGTCTTGTCAGCTTTTGCATTTCTTGGCCCCAAATACTGAACATATAATCCCTTTTGCATTAATTGCTTTGTTGGCTCATCTAATCATGTATTTCTATGATGCTTTACAGGCTGTGAATTGAGTAGCTTGTGTTTTCAAAGCTTTACAGACATCGCTATCTTCAAAGGCAAACAATGAGGGGCCACATCTAATGGTGGGAGTTGCAATCACTCAAAACATTCCATTACAACACTTTTGATGTTACAGCATTTTGATGGAGGTAATTGTTTCTGGACTTGCAGATTCATCTGTGTACCTGCACTGGGGGTTCAACCTCTACTAACACATCAAGCAAAAGACGTAGTGGAACACTATCCTGCAAAAACTGTGGTGGAAGATCATCAATTAATGGAAAAAGCTCTTCAAGTTGTCTTCTTAGCACAGTTTTGGAACTTACTAGCTTAATCAATTCAGACTTTACTTGGACAAAAGTTTCAAAAGGTTGTAGGAGTTCATCAAGGAGACCTCGAAGTTCAAACACAATTAACTTAACTAAGGATTCAAAAGTTCTAGAAATGCCTGTTTCTGAATCAGAAAAGGTGATATTTCAATGTTCACTATAATCATACTCTTTTAGCAGAAACTCATTAGTTGTTAGTTGTAACCTAAACACTCTTTTACTAAAATTGCAGTTGGGAGTCTCTGTTCTTGGGTGTCACTTCAGTGAAAAGGCAGAACACATTCCAATCAAGAAAAGGAGATTCTTATTCCGGGCATCATCTCCGCCACGGAATCCATCACTGGAGAGTCCCAAAGCTTATAATCATGAGCTAAAATTAAACCCGAATGCAGCTTGTCTACCTGAATCAGTTACTGGAATGAGTGAAAGAGGTAGCAATGATGATAAATCGGTAAAAAAGGAGTTGGTGAAGACTAAAAATGAACCTGGTGAAGATGATGACTTTTCTGGCATATCTATACTTGCTGCTGCAGCATGTAGTAACAGTTTGGGAGCTGAAGCCGATCGCAGTGAAGAGTCTGGAATTGGAATCGCCTCATCTGTCACTAAAAGTCCAGAAGCTCTTCTAACCACTATTGAACTAAAAGAAAACATTTCAAAGTCTGCTAAGGAAGAATCTGATCCCCATACATCAACAAAGGACCAATCTGCCCCAGATAAGTTCCCATTGGAGAAATCTTCACCAAATGAATCCACATTGGATAACTCCTCTTCACATTCCCCTCCGGAATCAGCAATTCCGACTTCAAGAGATGTCAGATTCAACTGGGACTTGAACACCGTGATGGATGATGCATGGGAGGAACCATTTGTAAGCGAGCATGAAGTTTCTGCACACAACAAAGTCACATTTTTCGAAGACAAAAAAGACCATTGTACAAAAGACAATTCCGGAGATCATAAGCCTGGAAGCGAGGGGGAATCCGGGATTCCATCAAAAGACATCAGCAATCTTAACATACCCATTGAGATGAAAAGTCTGGCTCACGAAAACGAGTTAAAGCTGGGAAAACCATTGTCTTGTGAACTAGATAATGCTCAACATTCCGTGGTGGCGGAATCAGTAATTCCTGTTACTAAAACCCTAACCTTGGAGAACCCAACACCCGATATTTTTTCAAAGTGGGCGACTCGTGGTGGTCAAACTTCTTCTGCTACTGAGGCTGTTGACACAAAATTATCAATGGATTGTTCTGTGCCCCCGGGTTTTGATCATTATCTAAACTTGAATGCATCCAAAGAAAATGTGGTGGCGGAATCAGCCATTCCTGTTACTACACAACCAGCCATGACTAACACCTGTAAACCTGAATACGAGAAACATGATTTATCACTTACCCCTGCAGCAACCTCTATGGAAAATGGAGATCTTTCAAATAAAGTCGATGAATCCATGGTGAAAATGGAGTTAACTAGCAATGATGCCAGCAAGGGGACAGAACTTCCTTTACAAACTGCTTCAATTCCTTCTATACATGAATCCGAAGCGCCATTGGAGAATGGAATCCGTTATGATAATTCACAGACTGACAATCGAGCTGGAAGTGGATACGATTCTCAATATGAAGATGGAGAGCTAAGGGAATCGAGTATAAATGCTTGGAAAGGAGAAGAAAATGAATATGTGATTGACAACAGGGGAGACGATTCGAACATCGGAATCATGGATTCCCATGAAACTAATACCTCTCCATGTGGACAAGAAGCCTCTCCAGGAATCAAACTCACTGAAACTGATTTAACATCTAATGTCGTGTTGCCAGAGAAACTTCATAACACTGATGAAGTCTTATCCGGTTCAGAACCAAATGAGACAGTTAGCAATCAAGCCAACAGTGAAAGACAGGAAATTGTCCAGAATCTGAACCAATCAGACGAGTGGAAGATGAACGTTTCTGGATTGGATCATGAAAATCAACGAATCTCTTTGAATAATTTCACTAAAACCAGAAACTTTACAAGTCGGAAATTTTCGTATGGCGAACAAAAAGACGGATTTGACCCTGAGGATATGGAAATGAAAGGTGAAGGGTCAAGATTCTACAGAAAGGAATCGATCACACGTATCGGAGGTCCATCGACACATGACATGTTCCTTTCTAGAGGTAGATTTCGGGTGCAAGGATGCAGGTACTAAAACTAAAAGTAAAACATATTTAGTAAATCTCTTTCTTGTTGACCTTAAGTCTGGTCAACATTTTGACTTTTGTTAATGTGTTTATTTACAGTTCAAAGTCTGGTGATGGTTTAGCTTCCAGACCAGAGAGGGAATCAGGTGTGGTAAGATCCTTTGGACGTGGTGGTAGTGGTAGTGGTAGATACTCCCCGCATAACCGTGGTAGTGGACGGGGAAGCGGTGTATGGAATCGTTCCCCAGATCGTAACCAACCATTCATTCGTACTATGCTAGAAGATTCCGGAAGTTTGGATAATATAACAAACGAAGGCTCCATGGATCAAAATGATTCTTCAAACAGACCAAACACTTCATCATATATGACTCGTAGACCTTTCAGAAGCCGCTCACCAATGAATCGCGAAGCAAATGATTTTCGGGCACGTTTAGGATTAAGACCAACTGGGGACACGGGTCACGAGAGGTTCAATATGGGTCGGAGCAGGGGACGCGGGCGGGTCGGGCAAGTGAGGTACAGTACACGGGTTGACGGGGAAGGACCCGGGCCCGGACCTAGAAGATACCATGGACCTGGAAGTGACGAATGCGATGAGTTTCTACCGGATTACCCAGATCCTTTCCCGAGGAGACGCCGGTGCTTTTCACCCGTGGAAAGAAGAGGGAATGGGAATCATTATTCCGATTCGAGATCACCTTCAAGACCGCGGACGCGTTCTCCGGTTTCCAATTCCGGGTTCCGACGCCGGAGTCGATCGCCTACTTTCAGAATGCGAAGGCCAAGATCACCCAACTACCGGCGTGGTGGGTTTGAACCGGAATACAATTCCGGACCTCGAAGCAGTAACTCATCACCGCCGCCGCCGAATTCGCGGTGGGTAAATTACAAGGAACGCCCGGTTGTTTTTGACCGGAGATCACCGCCACCACAGGTGGTGGAAAGGGAGAGTGTAAGGGAAAGGGAAAGTGCAAGGGAAAGGGAACGATTTGGTTTTTATGAAAGAAAACCAAAGCAAAATGAGTTCTACAGATCCGGGCAACCTGGAAGATTTGACCCGAGTGAAGCCGGGCGGGGCAGACCCAGGTATGTGGGTAATGAAGGTGATCGACCCGATAATGGATACAGGCGTGGGGGGTTTGTGAGGCAGCAGCGGTATAACATGGATGGACATGTGAAGAGGTTTCAGTACGATGATGAAGATGGTTTTGGGAGGGGTTTTGATGCACGTGACAAACATGCTTTGGAAGTTCATGCACGTGGGAATATCAAAAGTAATGGGACAGGGACAAATGGCAGGTTTAAAGATTTTCCAAGACGGTCGAGGGAAGACAGGGAGGTGGTGGTTGGTGAGTTTAAACGGCGGTCTAGAGAAAGGAAAGATTCTGACACAAAAGAAGAAAAAGACCAATCTAACCTTGACTCCATGGTCATGATGACTAATGAGGTGGTGGTGAAGGAAGGTGATAATAGTAAACCGATGTTGGCAGCTAACTAAACCAAACCAAACCAAACCATGGTTCGTGCTACTTTTGCCCTTTACTAATATATAGGGAGGAATATGCATTACACATACGCATTTATTCCCATAGCACTGAACCTTTTGAAAGTTTTTTCTTTTATATTTTTTTTTTTCAGCTCTCAGAAACTCATCTGAATCTTTGCTGTTGCTCCCCTGGTTTTCGCTGGCTTGGGTTTAATTTGCATTCAGATTAGTCTAGTCTTCGTTTTGCATTCATATTTTTTTTTAGTTTTGCTTTTTAAATCAAGCATAAGTTAAATTATCCTTCTGTTTTCTTGGTATTATTAGAAAAAAAAAGTACACTACACATCATTAATGGTTTCTCATATCTATATATACACAAAACTTAGCTCCTGAATTTTCCATTGTTTTCATCGTCAAAATGTGTGAAGAAAGATGGTCCGCCTGTTGGGATTTCATAGTTTAATTCACCTGGTTTTGCTGTTTTTTGCCTGAAGAAAACAATACAAAAAAATTGGCTTAAATAAATCTCTCATGGAAGGAAGGAGGGGTTAATGATTAATGGATAGATACCATTCTTGGTCAACGAGCATATCTTGGGTCAAACCAAAGTCCATCATTTGTTGTTTGGTGTGGTGAACTAACAAACTGTATCTTCCACCTTGACCTGTTTGCATAACGATCATATTCCCATTTTGCATGTTGTTGAGTCCTTCAAACTGTTCAACTGTCCACTTATACCATCTCATTAAGAAGACTCTTAAGGTTAAACCATGAGAAACTATGACCAAGTTCATGTTCGGGCTTTGCTCCCCTGGTGGTTGAAATCTACCTATGTCAATATCAGTTCTTAATGTCTCCCGAAACCCTACACACAATTTCATCTTTCTTTTATATAATATGATTTTTTTAGAGATGATGATAAATTGAATTGAATTGAATTTAGTATTAATTAACCTGTGATTCGATCATAGACATCTGCTGCGGATTCTCCGTTTGGAAAACGGTAGAAGAAACGGCCGTATTGGACTCGAACTGCTTTCTGAATCTTCATCTGTTCTTGATCTTGGAAGTTCCCTTGCATTTTGATATTCAAACGTTCAATATAAAAAAAATGATTTCTTATATTTAAAAAATCAATTACCGGAATATTATCCATGAAACATATAAACAAGCTTAAAGAATATGTAAAAATGTCTTTGAAAGTAAAAAGGTGTCCATATAAAAAAAAAACTAAAAAACAAAAGGTATTTTATACTACTATATCTTTATTTTATTTACAATCTTCATATTATGCTATTCTTTTATAATATTAGTTTTTACAATGTTTAACCATAATTCAAAGTTAAAAAAGATTAATACTATAATCAAAGCCAAGGAATGTGAGATTTAAGAATCGACTTGGATAATATGGTTGTACGGTACTACCACCAAAGCAACATGTGGCGGTTTGCAGTCCGGTCAAATTTAAACGTGTAGAGAGAGAGAGAGAGAGAGAGAGAGAGAGAGAGAGAGAGAGGGCGGAGTAGGTGGATAAGGATAGAAGAAGCTCACCGAAATCCTGTTCTCGCAACCGCGGTTCTTCCCTGACGCCGGCGATTCTCGATCGTTGAAACGCAGTCCCCAAACCACGAAGAGTCTCAATCGTTCTCTGATACGGCGAAACGTAAAAGTAAACCTTCCAATCATCAGCTCCATCCTTCTCAATCATCTCTCGTATCCTCACCCCACATTGCTCCGCCTCTTGTTTCCCTTTCTCCGTCAATCTAATTCTCGGATCTGCGACTCTCGTGTAAGCTCCTTCATCCACGTTTCCTTCACTCTGCCCGTGTCGCACCAGGATGATTCGTCGCGGCCGTGGAGGTTTCACGGTGGTGGCGTTGAGTGTCAGATTCTTCTCCGGGAAACAATTCTCGTCAATGGCGACTCTTCTTCGGCGCCCAATTGTGTCTTCACAGCACTTGATTATAGTCGAATATGGCGATGAAGATGCTGTGACAGACATGGTGGTACTGAAACCTCCGTATAAATGGAAGAATAGAGGGTTTGAAACTTTGAAGTTTTTATTTATTTGGGGGCATATTCATGGCATCATGCAAAGCAAGAAATTTGATGAAATTTTGTGAGACTGGTGGTCAATCCATTCGTCTTGTTCACATCATGTATAATTTTTTTTTCTTCAACTTGTTTTGTCTTATTATTAAATATTAACTTGTTTTGTCTTATTATTAAATATTAAGTCATTGTATTTTGTTAACTTTAAAAAAAAAATTCTAAAAATAACTATAATTATTAATCATTCTATAAGAAATAAATAAAAAATAATTATTTTATAAAAATAACCACTTGTTTTCGAAACAAATGCAAAATGTACTCCGAAATAGGAGTATAGGACAGCATGGTTATTGGTTAAGACATTTTTTTAAAATTCAAGTTTTGTTTTTTTTTTTTTTTTAAATATATATTTTTTACAATATAAACTCATTTTTTTATTTTAATGTGAAAATATCTTCTGAAGATCACACTACAAAGAACTTAAAAAAATGTTATCAGTTATCTTAATTGTTTTTCATAAAAATATGACTAATTTGAAAATATGTATAATATCAATTTATTTTGGTTTTGTAGTGAACAGTAATTGTTTGGTATTATTTTTTGGCGGGTAAAATATAAAAAAAGTGAGTTTTGCAGTGAATAATGTATTTTTCTATGGGGGCATTGCGAAATTAACAGTTGCTTTGAGAAAATATGAAATTTTAGGCTGTATTTTAGCAAATAATTAAGAAAAATAGATGTACTTATATGTTTTTTGTGATATGGCAATTAAAACACTTAAATCGATCATCACATATATTTGCATGAGAAACATGTTTTCACTAAATATGACTCGATAAATCCGTGGTTCAAACTTCAAACATATGGCTAAGACCCGGAGAATATTCAATATTATATGGCCGAATATTAAAATTACTCATACCTAGCAAGTGATGAATCAAGTTTGGGCTTCTGGATATAACCCATCTTAATAACCCACTACCATAAGTTCTAAAACCATAAGGCTTCTTTGTTTGTCTTTTTTTGTAAAGATTTCGTTTATTATTATTTTTAAGTTTCGAACTAATAAGACAGTTTGCACGAATTAAACTGTTTATTTGGAAGTATTCAAATTTTGTTTTTATTTAAGTCGATATTAATGAGATGCTTACATGAATTATATGTAAGACACTCAAAACTATAAGTAGACATGTAAAAAGGGAGACACATATATATATCTAGTAGTAGTGATACTATTTTTTTCCCGATCAAATATAATAACATAAACCTGAAAAACAGGTTCGTGTTGGGCCGGGTTTGGTTGAGATAAGACTAACCTACGAAACGCATCCCTCAAACAAAATTTTTTTTACTAAAAAAATAGTTTCAGCAACACTGAAGAAACCAAAACTTTAAACCATGTATTTTAGGTTTGAAAAAGTTTGGAGTAAATTACACGAATCGTCCCTGGTCCAAGTGCCAAATTGCACGTTCAATCCTTATTTTTGAAAATTAACTCGAACCGACCCTCATGTATTTAAATACTACCCGCCCAGTTCCTATTGTCGTTAGACGTTAGTTTTCTCCGTTTGGGTGCCCCACGTGCCTTGCACGCAGGGGTATCTTCGTCATTTCATGTCGCGTGTATATTATCAACTGCGTATGACGCCATATCGAGTTCACCCAAATGTTGCATACCCAGTCCCCGATCAAAACCTTTCTCGTCTCACAAAAACCCTAGTTTTCCGTCAAGAGTGAAGATGAGTGGGTGGCGAATACGACCACAGATGGATGAAATTGATTTGGAAGCAAGTTACAGTAAGGAAAACAACCATTTTATGCTCTGTTCTTGATCATTTTATCACTGATTTTGAAAATATTGTTGTTTTTTTCTTGTGAAGGTGGGAATCCAACTGTTTTTAGTATACACTTGCACTATGGAGGAGAGTTTACCAAATTTCCTGGGAGAAAATACATCAAGGGACAATACAAATTTGTGGACTTGATCGACAATGATTTGTTCTCTGTTCACGACATTGATGATATGATGGAGGAGTTGGGTTGCGTTGAAGAAGGTAAGGTTATGTATTATCACTTTAAACGACCGTTAGGGGATTTAGATTTTGGGTTGTTTGCATTGGGTAGTGATCAAGATGTCAATCACTTAAGGTCCTACGTTGCTTTACACAAGCTTATAGAAGTGTATATAGAATTTTGGCGTACCAACTTGCATACATATGCTATGTCTCCTAACCCTTCAAAACTCAGGATTGAAGAGATTGTTGAACCCCCTTCTTGGTCTAGAAGGTTGTGTCTCGAATAGATTGACACAACCACAGTTGAACCCCCTGTTTTAGAACTAAACATGCAAACCCCTACAATGGAACCTAACATGGAATCCCCTAGTCATACTGATGTTGTACATGTTTCACCCCTAGAATGGAATCCCCTATTGAAGTTGAATCTGTGAAAGAACCAAACATGGAACCCCCTATTATGGAACCCTTTAGTGAAGCCCTGTGTGGATCTAGTGATAGTGAGGGTAGTGGAGATTCAAGTGATAGTGATGATAGTGATTTCATTGTGGATGAGGATAACTTGTTGGATGATCCTGAGGTGGACATGCATGATTTCTACCTCAACATTGATGATAATTTGGAGTGGGTTGGTGATGCCCCTATTACAACAGAGAATGTAGTAATGTCTGATGAGGAGATGGAGGTGATTAACACTGATGTTCTACAATCTGAGTCATCATCTGATGAAGGGAAAATGAGTAAAAGAAGAAATAAAATTCGGGCTGCTGAAAGGGCACATATAAATGATGCAGCTCAAGTGAGTGACCATTTCTACATACTTCAAACATTCTCAAGTTCTCAGGAAGCAAACGACAGAATTTACTTGCATGCAATAGAGACAAGAAGAGAATTGGATATTGTCAAGAATGATAAAAACATGGTCAGGGTAGTATGTAAATGAACAATACCATATATGGGGATACTTGAGACTTCTGGGAAAGGTGGACCAAGTAAAACTAGTGGGAAAGGTGGGCCAAGTCAAAGGAACATAAATGGTGGACCCAGTCAAACGGGTGAAAAAGGAGGACCAAGTAAAAAGAAAAGTGCAGTGAAAGTAGATGAAAGCAATAAGTGCCCTTGGAAACTTTTAGTAAGTAAATGGAAAAAGGATGATGATTGGAATGTGAAAACGTATGAAAAGGAGCATAAATGTCTCCAAACACAACAGTCAAGCTTCAAGTGGATAATTCTTCCAATCCTACATCAGATACTAGGATTCTTCAACATTGTTGATTGTATGTGCAACAACATCAACTGTACAACAATTCAATATTGCAATGGAGGAACTGAAGAAATTGAACAATGATGCATATGAATGGCTTAAAGCCATTCCACCCCAACATTGGTCCAGGTCTCACTTTACAGGTTAGTTATACATGTTAGAATTCTTCAACATTGTTGATTGTATGCATCTTAAAAGATTACTAAAAATTATGATGCAACATTGTTATTCTACAGGAAGAGCACATTGCGATGCATTGTTAAACAACCTGTGTGAGACATTGAATAGCAAACTTGTCAAGGGTCGTGACAAACCAATTATAAGTTGCTTGGAATTTATTAGAGATACATAATGAAGAAGCTTGTTATTGTACAAAAGACAATTGACAAATGTTCTGACCCACTAACTCCTACAGCTACCAAGACTCTAGAGAAGATCAAAGGTGAAGATGCAGAGTATAGGGCTGTGTTTTGTGTAAATGGGAAGTATCAGGTTACAGGTGGTGAAGGTGTGGACCAATGTGTAGTTAACATAACACAACATACATGATCATGTAACAAGTGGGAGGTCACTGACATACCATGCAAGCACACAATTGCAGCTATATGAGATATGAGGAGAATGAGAATGTTGGGATACCTGAAACATGGGTTCACCCAACATACTGGTTGAAGACATGGCAAAAGATGTATGCCTTTAAAACCGAACCAATTAATGGGAGGATGATGTGGGCAAAAAGTCCTTGTCCAACAAAGTTACTACCACTAAAACATCATGTGCCTATTGGTAGGCCAAAAAAGAAAAGAAGAAGATCTGCCACTGAAGATGATAGTGCTACAGGGACCAGAATAGTTAGATGTTCAACGTATGGAAATGTTGGGCATAATGGTAGGAGCTGCAAGGGGCAGGCAGTGGGAGGATCACAGGCCAGTGGTAGTGATGTGGGACAGAACTCAGGTGCTGTGAACAAAGGGAAAAGTCTGATGGTTTAGTGTTTGTGTATTAATTTCTTCTCTTTTGGTTGGCTAATGCTTTTGATGTACTTGAAACAATGTTCTTTCATGTCTTTTGGGTCTGTAATTTTAGTTTGAACTAATGTTGTGCTACTTCTTTAACTATGATGGCGATGTACTTCAAACTATGTTGACTTGATGAATGTTTGTAATGGTTTGAATGACTTAATGATTAATTAGGTTGTTAATGTATGAATGCATGTTTGTAATGGTTTGATGACTTAATGGTATGATATAAATTGTTGTTTTGGTATGAATACTTTGGTATGAATACATGTTTGGCAATTACCAAAAAAACACCCAATTTTCATTAACATGCAAACTGATAGATCCAACTTGAGTTTGTACAACTAAAAGGTAAACGTATCTGATAACTTATCCTACACTTTGTACACTAGAATTGACACAAACAGAAACCAACTAATAGCTAGATACAACTTCAGTTTCAGATTTTGTTGTTCAAGCTTCATCCTAATGTTCATACAAGCACATTTCTGATCCTCCACCACCTAACCAATGAACTTGCAACCACGAGTCTGCAAAATAAGTGCAAAAACATTTAACAATGCAAAAATTTACAGAAAATAGGAGAAATTAGGAGATTAGGTTAGATTTATCAAGAAATCGAAATTAACCGGGTTAGAACAAGCATAGTAACGTTTTCCAGGGTTGTTCTTGCTCCATGAGGTACGAATCACAGTTTCAGCTCCACAATTGCATCTAATTGCCATTTTTGTTGGTTAGAGAAGGGTAATCGAAGAACGAAAGGGGGAAAAAGTAATGGGGAAGAAGACCGACGAAG